CCCTTAGAGTGGCGGGCCCACCCTGTTCCCCTCCTTCTCTCATGGGCCCAATGGACCCCACAACGTCTCACAGGCATCTGATCCCGATTGGACAACTGTGCTAATCACCACCCCATATAGGCCCACCCTTTTTCCTTTTCTAAACTTCTTATCAATTAATTGTTCCACAAATTTCATAATATTAAAACATCAATTGTAATTTTTTAAAAATCTAGAACTAAATATAAGGAATAATAAATTATCAAATTAATCATTTGAAGGTTCCAGTTTTTTTCCTTCATGGTCAGGCTCTCTTCTCATTTAGACTTCATTTGGAACGGCTTTTTCTTGCTTCTTAAACCATTTTTGTAGTACAAAAAATAAAATTTTAATACTTAAAAGCTGTTTTAAGAAGCAGTAAGAAAATCGTCCCAAATGAAATCATAATCTATAAATTTTTAAGATTTCAGCATAAAATTATTTAGAAGGATTAAAAAAAATCTCCTTTCGGAGTTTATTATATTACATACAGACAGAGGGAAGACTAGATACACGCAGATAACAGATTCATAGTCAAAACGAGGCTGTAGCAAAGGAAGGGCTGAGAGGCTTGAGGGTCGGATGGGATCACCAAAATTATAATTTAAAAAAAAATAAAAATAAAAAAACACAAGAGGACGGCCCCGAACAGGGGTGGGAAACACGGTAACATGGAGAGGTGAAACCATCTGACCAAGGCCTTCCAGTGAATCGAACCGCAACTCCATGTCCGTAAGTAGGCCCACTGGGCCGTGCCGTGCCGGGCCGGTCCGGGATGTTTCATCCGACCGCTGAAAAGATGGACAAGAAGAGATCGCCGCATTGAGATTAGTGAGCATCAGCGGCCGCGGAGGTAGAGTCGGTGGCACCGGCGACTCGCCAAGCGGAAGTGGCGATTAGTGGACGCGTATGCCAACCGAGCGTGAGACAGCCTTCTTTCTCCTCCACGCGATAGCCGTCGCCTCCGGCGAAGAGTGCAAGGAGCATGCTTGCCTGCTTGAAGGCGTTGGAACCAATATGTACAGGCTCGAAACCAGCACCGCCCATCCTTGTCCTCCATTGAGTCAGCGTCTCGTGACGTTCTGTCCTCTCCGATCCTTCGCAGGCTACTACGTTGCAGATCTGCCGACCGAGGTAGACCTCCGACATCAGCTGATCCTGTTGTGCCTCGCCGGCGGCGCCAGCGCCGCCCTCCAGAGAATCGAACATCGTCGAATAGTAGTGAAGAGCTTCAGTAAATCGCTCCATGAACGGACCTGCGTTGTGGTTTGCTTCCTGCTCGACCACGGTGACGATGCGCGGCTTCACAGCGCGAATAGTAGCGAGGACTTTTTCCAAAGCCCCTGGTCTGGCTAGGAGGCGGTGTAGCTCAAAGACTGAGTTGATCGCCACGACCTCCGGCTCGGCGGATCCGCCACTTGCTGGTGAGAGGGTCTCGAGCATGAAGGGCTCGAGATCAGCGAGGCTGTTGGCAACAAAGCCGCGGTACTCGAAGTCGACGTGTATGGTATCCGCGAGCTGGGCTAGCTTCCAACCGACTTGTTGAAGCGCATCGGTGTTATCGGGTTGGGGCGGACCTATTCCGGTGAGGCGGAAAGATGGGGGGCCGCCCGGTCGGAGTGCGAGAGCCTGCATCAGCGCCGGCCACTGCATCCCCTGTTTCATACTAAAGTCGATGACATGAACGCGGCGACAGCCGGCGAAGGCTTCCAGGATGGCTTGGTTGGCGGTGAAGTGAGCAAACTTGAGGTAGGGACAGCTCTCGTAGAAGTGCATCTGGAGGATGTCGGAGAAGGCGGAGTCGAGAGAGCAATCCTGCTGTGGGTGGAGGCGATAGATTTTGCGGGCGAAGCCTTCTGCAAAGTATCCGGCGACCTTACGCATGGCACCGCTCTGAGAAGAGGCGAGAACCGTAATCTGCCTGACGAGCACATCTGCCACTTTGAAGTTCTCCTCGTTCACTGCCTCAGCACAGGCCATAAGGGCGTGAACTAGACGAATCCCGACCTCCTGTGTGTCCACCATCACTACAGGCAGCGCAGAAGCCACCTCGGTACCGGATGCAGGCGCCAGCAAAGACCCAATAGTTGGTGAAGATTGCACAATCACTCCACCGCCAGATCCTCCTCTGGAAGAGGAAGAGGATGACGAGGTTTTCATCCGCTTCCGGTCTCGGGTTCCACTATCGATCTGGGGCTCTGATCCGTACACGACGCGGTTGCCTCCAGAGCCGCTCTGCCGAACGGCGAAATCAGGGAAGACAACAGGAGGAGGCTGGGCAGGGAAATCGACGGAGGTGACGGTGGAGGACTCAGTGGTGGTGAGTGCATCGGCGGGATCAAAGAAAGCTGTCGAGGAGTGGGCAGAAGCCGGCGCTTGCGGCAAGTTGTAGCCGCTGGAATTAGGATGAATCGCCTGCGGCAGCTGTGGGGGCGGCGCGCTTAGCTCCGAGAGCATGCTTTCCAGCCAGCTCGACAGATCGGACGGGTTATAGTGCACAGTATCAGAAGCAAGGTGAATAAGCAGCGCATCGTCATGCGCAGAGCTGCCTCCCATCGCCATCTCCAGCTGCTCCAGCTTCTCCGCCACGCCCGCCATATCAGAGGACCTCACGTTGTACCCGAACGCAGCAAGAAGCTCGTCAATACCACCGTCCGCCTCCTCGTCCAACCCCATCATCTTCCCTTTCCCCGTTCCCGCCATACCGGGCGCCGCCGGAGCATACCCGCCAATCCCCCTTCCTCCAACACTCTCCAAATGCTCCCTCTTCATAGTCGTGCCGTTTTGGTAAACAGATTGAGATTTGAGTGGAGTGGAAGGTCTCGCCTGTTCCAGCTTCCAAGAAGCAAAGATGTGACTCTCGTGGCGGGCTCGTCCTCCAAAAACACCCCAAATTAGGCACCGAGAGATAGAGCAAAGCGAGCACAGAAAGGAGCGGAAGGGCAAAAACCCTTGACTTCGCAGATTGAGAGATTAGCAGAAGCGATTGAGAGAGTAACAGAAGAGCGCACCGAGAGCTATTCAGAGAGAAAAAAGATGAGAGAAGAAAAGGGAATACAGGAATCAGCTTGGGCATCAATAAATGGGCGGCTATTTCTCCTCTCTATCATCATTTTTTATCTTATTTTTTTATTCCCTAAGGCGGAAGCTCAAATTTAATAAACAAAAAATAATTACAAGAGTGAGTCCAATGTGAGCGAATTGCGAATAGAGGCATAGCAAGCTGTTAAGTCAGAAATTTCTCTTCTTGGTCGACTCGTACTCAAACATACTAACATTATTAATTTCTCGATGCTCTTAATTTTCAAGAAAAATAGGTAGAGTGAAAAAAATTTTAGCCATTTAGTCTCAGTCAATCAATATAAGAAAGCCAGTAAAGTAGAATATATATGTAAAATGGGTAGTGGAGTATTTGTTTGAATACACCATCAAAAGTTCTATGCATGATTGTCTTAGGTTTTGTTTGGGACGGTTTCTTATTATTTCTTAAAGCAGTTTTTTACAAAAATTTTAATTTTTGTACTAAAAACTGTTGATAAACCTGATACAGCCAGAGACGGAGAGGAGAGCTAAACGAAGCAAGATAGAAAAGAAGAGTAATGATTTCTTATTATTATTCTTAATACAAGTGTGAATATATATAACAGCTTGAGTGAAGCCGTTAGAAAGAAAGTACAATATAAAGAAGGTACATATTTGGTGTTAAATCTGAACCGTCCACGTGTAGGATCCTAACACCCCCCCTCAAACTGATGTCTACCATGTAGAAATGAGTTTGCTGGAAAGGTTGTGAAACCGTGATGACGTGAGCGGTTTGGTAAACAGATCGGCGATTTGATCGGTAGTGCAGATATGATGAATGGTGAGCTGCTTTTTGATGATACAGTCGCGTATAAAGTGACAATCAACATCTATATGTTTGGTTCTGGCGTGGAAAATAGGGTTGTTGGCTAGAGCGATTGCTGATGTATTATCACAATAGATGATCGTCGGCGACTGTTGCGGTATGTTAAAGTCGTCCAACAGTCGACGTAGCCAAATTATTTCTGAAGCTTCTGCTGCGAGAGCCCGGTATTCTGCTTCTGTTGATGAACGGGCGATGGTATTTTGCTTCTTGACTTGCCAGGATATGATTGAGTCACCTAGAAAGTTGCAGAATCCGGACGTGGACTTACGATCTAATGTGTCGCTGGCCCAATCGGCGTCAACATAGCCTCGGAGTGTAAGGTTTGTTCGGTTGAGGTTGATGCCGGTGCTGGAGGTACCATGAATGTATGTGAGGAGGCGCTTAAGGGATTCATGGTGTGCGTTGAGCGGTCTTTGCATATGTTGAGATAGCTGCTGAACTGCAAACTGGATGTCCGGCCGAGTGAGTGTAAGGTATTGTAGAGAGCCAATGAGCTGTCTGTACAGATTTGGATTACTGAATTCGATGCTGGAGTTGTCCCGAATGGTGTGCTTGCAGACGGTTGGTGTGGATACAGTTTTGGAGTTTGCCATTCCAGCCTGCTCAATGATGCGGCGAGCGTAAGGTTGCTGATGTAGAATCAGGCCGATTTTTGTGTGGATTGTTTGAAATTTAATTTACAAACCAAAAAAGATAGAGAGGAGAGGAAAAAATTTAGAAGAGTGTCATAAATAATAATAGAGTGGTATGTTAAATATGTAAGAATTATTCTAGGATATAAAGAGAGTAAAACATTTTTTTAATCTACATTAATTCTTCCAAAAGGACCAACATCCATTTTTTGGTCAAAATGTTCACAAGCTTATTACTAAGAATGATATTGTTAGATTTTTGTTTCAAATTTATAAATCCAACTTGAGCATAATTGATGATTTTATAATAGGCCTTACCTAGCAAACCAAAAAGCAAATGTATAGTTAACTTTTTAGTGTATAAAATGATCTACACATTAAAAATTTATCAAAATTCTTAAAAGATCATAAAAATTTAACATATATTCTATTGTGATATAACGAACATAATAAGTAAAATAAATTTTAAAAAATTAATTACACATATAAGATAGTAATATCATTTTATAGTTTAATCAATCATACAATTTATACTTAGATAATTATATATGTTATCATCATGAGAGCAAAACCTTTCAAAAAACTATTGTGACATGTCATATGAGGATTGATCAGGTTAAGACTTAAAAGCCAAACAACAATATAAATAAAATATATTAAGATAGCTCAATAATTGCTTTAAAAATGAGTAAGTATTCAAGGCTACTGTGATGAGTCATTAATTTGACTATAGAGAAGTGTACTGTCATATTTTTATAATAACAATATAGGGATGACGAGTTTTTATTGTGTGAATAGGCCTTATAAGTGATGGTCTATGTCGGAGGAATAGATTGGTCTAATAAGTGATATCATATGACAATATTATTTCTGTTGAAAGCTAACAAAGAGAGCAAGCATCAACATTAGTATTAACGATATGCATTGGCATTTTAGGTGATAGTATGCATCTATGCCATTATCAGTAAAGTTGAGAGGAGAAAGTTGCAGTTGATTGAGCGAAGATCTTTTGGTGATAGTTGTCACAAAATGGTGGTCAGAAGATCTCAATATAGCAACAATAATCAAGTAATGATATTCAAGTAATTGTGACCAGTCGATGCTAGTCATGAGTCTTTAGCCAAGTGATGGAGGTGGATGATGGTGGTAGGGCAATGACGGTTGTTGGTCATGATCATCAACAACCAAGCAGATATCTCTTTAACTTCAAGGCCAGATTAAGCTCCAAAGCTCATTCCCCCTTATATGTGAAAAATGATGATTTATTTATAATTACCATTTGCGGCATTTTGATAATTTTAATCAGAATCTTCAAAACTTTCTATGATATGACCTTATTGATTCTCATAATAATGAATTATTCTTTCATAATCTAAGTATCATAATAATTTCATGAATTATGCTCATTGGATTTCACTAATCGAGATGCTCGACATGAATATAAGAAAGCAATATTTGAATTTTTTTTCCCATCAATTAGTTACGTGAAGTTTCAAAATATCTTTTCAACTGCTTGATTTAGGTTCGTTTAAAGCTAGATTAAATCAATTTTAGTTCCGTAAGTTACATCTCAATGTGACATCCAATTCGATTATAAATTTGTTGAAGTCAAATTTCAAATGATCTTAAATATAATTACATAAATTTTCAATTCAAATTTTGCATCAGATTCTTGCTTGATATATTGTAGTTTTTATGATATATCACATCCAAAATTCTTTAATATCTATTTGGATATTAAATTAAACAATCATATTCACAAGTGTGAACTAAAACCGATTATTATTTAATGCACTAAATTTTTCTTATGAAAAAACTTTTGATAAGGAAAAACTAATTCTCTTTACGAAGTAATATTTAGGTAAATTTTTTATTATTTTTCTTGTGGCTCGTGAATACTAGCATTTTAAGTTATATTATTGATAAGCGCATGAGTGATTGGTTCTTATTTTTAATCGGGATTGTTGTTTTGCAAAAGATAATATTTAAGTTAAAAAAGAATTCCGTATGTCCCCTAATTTATAGGCTTATTATCTTTGTATTAATTTTTAAATAGCTACTATTATAGTAAAGAGTGCATTTTTTACATATAAACTGTGAGTAGAATGAGTGAAGAGTAGTTCAATAATTGTATAGTATATTATATTGAGTCTGGAAAAATTTACTTGAAAAGCTTATTATCTTTGTTCAACTCATTGATCATAAATTCATTATAAAATAAAAATTTTGAACTCATGAATTTGCTTTGAAATCAGCATAATATTTAAATAATTTATATTAATTTTACAATTCTTTCAAAGATACAATTTTTCTATTAATTATTTATATATTGTATTTATTTTAAAATAGATTCAATGATTTTGAGATTTATTCTAAAACATTTTTATAGTTTAAATATTCTTAGATGATTTGTATAATTTTGATTTTCATTCAAAAAAAAAAACCCTCTCAAGCCGAGCCGATGCGGTCCAATCCCATTCCCAATGGACTGAACCGGTTTCCCCACTCCCGAAGAAGCGAAGGGAGAGACGGAGCGCAGCCCGCTGCAGCAACAGATCATCGCTTGTGACTCGTCCACATGTAAGCCTCCTATTGGTCCCTTATCTCCATCACACACGCTCCAATGCCGCCCAACCTGCAATTTTCACCTCGTAACCATTTTTTCAGAATTAAAAAAAAAACCTCAATATTACCGTATTCGTACCAAAAATTAAATAAATAATATTAAAAATAAATACTTTATGTTTGGATAATCAATAATGGAATCTTATCGGAATGAGCCGATTGAAGTCTTGGTTTTCGGTGCGCCAACTCCGGCCGTCGCTGGCCACTTGGCGGCTTCTCCGCTGCGCCCTCTGAGAAAAGCTAAACTAATCTCGCTGTATACGCAAAAAAAGAGCCCAATTGAGGGCATGTGAGAGCGATTGATTACCTTTTAAATTTTAATCATTGTGGAAACGGGATTCCAGGAAGCATCCCTTCCTTGACTATAAAAAGTAGAAAATTGTTTAATTATTAAAATAATCTTATATTTTTTTTTATTAGTTTAGAATTTTTTTCATTCCTTATATTTGAATAAAAAATCAAATTAGAGATGTTCAAATGGGTTAGAGTATCGAATTCGAGTCAAACTCGAGTTGACTAGGATCTAAACAGATCAACCCGAACCTAATCCTACTTTACAAACAAGTCTGAATTTTCAACAATTTTTATATTAAAAATATTATAAATATTTATATTAATTTTTATTAAGGTATATAAATATCTTAATATTTTATTATTTTAATACATTAACTAACGTTGTGCTTATTAATCTATAAATTCACCAATTAATAGATTTAAGTATTTTAGGCATAGTTTGGAACAACTTCTATTATTTTTTAAAATATTTTTTTTAGTATAAAAATTTTAATTAAAAAAAATAATATTAAAAAACTATTAAAAAAAAGGTCTCAAATGAGAAAAATTATTCTATGCGGACACCTAACATCCGGAGATTAATCAGATTGTGCCAAGTCACTTTTCTCGGCACCGCCGAGTGACGTGAC